CGGGGCGGGGGGTGGGGAAGGGAGGAGGGAGAAGTGCCTGGAGTCCATGCTTTCCTCTCACACCTCGCTGGTGAGTTCCGTTCACCAGCCAGGTATGAAAGGAATGCAGGCACTTCCCTCCCTCATTCCCTTAGCATCCGGGAAACGGGATGAAAAGCTAGGCACATCCCGGAGTGCAGAGCTGCTGCCCCCTTCCATACAGTTGAAATGGTGCCCTTGTGTCTGATAAGAAGATGCTTGCAATCCATGCTTTCCTCTCACACCTCGCTGGTGAGTTCCGTTCACCAGCCAGGTATGAAAGGAATGCAGGCACTTCCCTCCCTCATTCCCTTAGCATCCGGGAAACGGGATGAAAAGCTAGGCACATCCCGGAGTGCAGAGCTGCTGCCCCCTTCCATACAGTTGAAATGGTGCCCTTGTGTCTGATAAGAAGATGCTTGCAACAATAATACTAGTAATTAATAATCCCTTCTCCAGAACTACAAGGCCAAATTCCACTTCAATAGTAATTTATTATAAAATGCCCCCTTTTCTCATCCTTTCCTCCCTCATAATAAATTACCTCTGAAAATACCCATTGGTATAAAATCTGACTGATTATTTTTGAGGATGAGGATTTTTTGTTTCCTCACAGCACACTCTAGGTAGCCTGACTCCACTGCAGGAGCTTCTACTTCTGTGGGAGAGTCTGGTCATTCTAGTTCAAAAATCTCAACTGTTCCAGAGAATGTGGCAGCTTTAAGCCACCATCGGCAGCTCCTTTCTTCTAGGTCTCAATGCTGCACTTTTCTTGAGGCAGCTCAGCTCTACAGCGTGACTCTCCCTTCTCCCTGGCTCCAGTTTGGACACCAGTCAGGTCCCTTCTGCCTGGCACCATGAACGAGTTCAGGAGCATGCAAAGTAAGCCATTTGGCTCCTTGCCATGGAGGAAGATGACTAGCAAAAAGGATCCCACTGTTGCTGGCACTAGAGGCGCTACACCATCACTTGGTAACTATGAGAGAACTTCAGAAAACCTTTGATGGAGGCAGCCCAAGAAGTTTAGTGATTATTTCAAGGCCACATTACAAATCAGTAGCAGAGATGGGGACAGAACTTAGGATACTTGACTCTGCGGTAACCACTGGCCCACATTTCCCCAAACTACTAGGTAGTGTAACATTTTTGTCCACATATGGGAAGGAGTTGTTTAAAAAAACAGCCATCCTTCAGCGTTCTGTATCAAGATGCTGGTTTAGTTTAAAGGAACTCTCTGATTTCACAACAATAACCTTTCAGTACCAGTCAAAGGGTAATTAACGATGTCTCTAAATTTAGACAACAATTCAAACATCAGTGGTTGGATATTTAGAATATATTTCATTGCTCCCATTGTTGTACACACACACACACACACACACACACACACACACACACACACACACACACACACACACACACTGTTGAAAGTATACACCTCAGTTTTTAACAGCAGCTACTGTCTATGCTATGCTTCATTGCTTTCATCCTAGCATCTAAATATATTAACACTCACAAATGCAACTCACAAGATACTTCTTTGGCCCCTCTCCAAATTTCAGCCTATTTTGATGCTAATCATCATGAAGTCTCCAGCAGTCTGGAGAAATCAACATACTTTATTAACCTTTTTAGAAAGTAAGTCTTCTCTAGGGACATACTATTTAAAACATAAAGATTCCTTGACGCAAGTGAGGGACCAAAGTTGTATTGCTGGCCTTATATATATTGAAATTGAAATATATTTTTAGGTGTTTACAGAATATCCTTGGATAAAAACCACATGTAAGATTGATCTCCAGTTATGTAGTTTCCTAAAGAGAAATCACTAATGGTCCCTTTTGTGCATGTAGCACTGAAGTTTTGCTTTTAGGAGATCTGGTAAGGGGAATGGTAGGTCTTCATAGATTTCTAGCATCAGGTAGCATAAGAAAGATTAATATAATTTCACTGATATTTCTGTAGTTATCCTCTCCACCCATACTTAGGCAGCACACATACATAGTGAAAACACATAGGATTATTCCATGTTTCATAACTTCAAATGCTAATGTAAACCAGGAGTTGTTAGTGAGAATTCCAGCAATGCTGAAGTCTCTCTAGCATTGAGACTTTCTTGCAGAGATACATGGGGAACAACCATAGCCCACCTGACAAGGAAGCTGTTGAGAGACATTGCCTGGAGAGGATGCTTCTCCAGAGTGTCATGTCCTCAATTCACTGACACAGGAGGGGGACAACTGTGTTTTGAGTCTTAATCCCTCTCTTGTACAAAACGTTTATCATCTGTCTCACAGCATCTCCGCTATGTTGATATTACCATCTTTCTAACACAGCATTGCAAAATAGTTACAATAAAATTAAGACACTTTAAAATCTGTATTTTTCAGATTTCATGTTTTATGCAAAATGTTGCTGTTTTTACACACACATACACAAACACCTAAATGTTGAAATTTGTTCTTTTCAACATTTCACTTGCACAAAGAGTAATTTTTGTGTCTAAATATGTAAAAGAATGAATATTCTGTGTGGATGAGCTCATTAAATAAAAGTCTTAACAAAAGCAGTTTTGTGGGCACAAAAATCACCCATCTAAAATGGCAAATTTTATGCCCTTTTTCAATCTTACCATTCTTCTCCTGGAGTCATCCATGTAATGGTAAATCTGTCAGTGAGTAACAGGCCTGGTCAGCCTGATTGGGCTAGTAATTCCCCACAGTGCACTGGTCTACTGGCCAAATGCTGGAATGGTGCTGGTACAGGTGGGGAAGTTGGCAAGTGCACATCTAAATCTGATACTCTGCTATAACTGTGAATCATGAGAGTACCATTTACAGCAGGTTAGAAATGAGGATTCCAATGTGCAGATCTGCTTACATTATGTTGCTTACTTGAACTCGTAATTTGGTATCACCCCATATAGGGAAGAGTTGAAACTCATCTAATATTTTTTTCAGAGCACCACATCCTTGTAACAGGCCTAACCCATCAGCTATTATGGGTTTCTGTGGGAGTTTTGTCTACATGGGGAGCATAGGATCAAGGCCCATAGACATTTGTGTTTCTTCTCTTCCCTCCTCCCTCCCTCCCCCCGAATTGGCTGGTCAATAAGGCTATGTCTAGACTATGTTCCACTTCTTCTTCCAATCTCACTTTCGAAAGTGAAAGTAGCCTGGATGCGTTTTTTTTTTAAACCCTTTTTCAAAAAAACTGGTCTTCCTTAAAAAAAGAGGTTTACACCGTTTTTTCAAAAAAGGGTTCACCTTATACATTCTGCAGTCACTTGATTGTTTTTCATCTCTAACCCTATGCAGCTTTTTTTAAAATTGGTTAGCCTAGTGGGGTAGCATAACCATAAATGTGGCCAGGCTAGTCTTTCAGGATTCCAAAGCTATAAAGGATTCTATTTTATCATCATCACCATTCTTTATCATCAAAGAATCTGGAGATGTCTTTGTTAATTAATTCTATCTGGTTCATATGGACTGATAGTGGAAGGCATTTGCACAGATATAGGATTCTTGGAAGAATGTTAATAAATGTATGGATTTTTCTATTTTATCTGGAAAGAAAAAGGCATAACATCCCATTATTTAAAACATCTAATTTTTTGGAATGATTTGGTATAAGTTTCTCTAAATGAACCTTTTAAATTAGATGTTGTGTGCACGCTAAGTACCTGAATCTCTTAGCTCCAATTACATTTTTTCATAGGTGAACATTACGCATAATCATGCAGAAGCAGCAGAAATGCAATGTAACTACTTCAATGGTAGAAGAGGGCAGCTGGGAAAGGGTAAGCATGTATACTTTGTACGATCATAAAAAGACTAATATATATTTGACTAACAATTCATTACAGTCTTAACATATTTAAACATTATATTTTAATATAATTAAAATAAAAGGGGGAAAATTTATATACAGAGTCGATTTATGGTTCAATAGCTGTTTTTTAAGTTATTCGTCATATTACAAATACTATTTACAGTGGTTGTCTAGTTACAATGTGTTTTTGTGGGCATTAAAGGTTTGTTTTGTTAAGAAAGTGCATAGTGGGTTCTTGGAAATTGACTTTGAATTATTACCATCCATTTAGCAGAGTTTTGCATATAACAAGCCCTGAGGTTTAACTCTGCATAGTGCTTTTTGAAAAATCCTGAAAAAGGCAGAACTCTGTGCTGTGCTTTATAGAAGAATGAAGCTGAGGTGCAGGAAGAAGTAGAGGGCACAGTTATACAGACTATTTCTGGAGCCCTCCTGTCCCAATTACAACTATTTTCTCTTCCGTAGATGTAACTGTGGCACCCATCAGCGTGTATATCCGAATGCAATTTTTATCTCTCTCTATATATATTACTCTCTCCTCCTTCATAAAAAATAAATAGGATTTTTATTACTGAGCTAGTCTGCTGCCTGCAAACATAAATAATTATTACCAAGAAATGTAGTTTGTCCTGTATATAGTATTAATTGCAGACTGATTTATGAGAGAAATGGACATGTGGAATTGAAGAGACCAAAAAGCAATACAGGTTAGACAAATTTAAGAGACAACATCCCTCTTTGTGTCAACAGCATCACTGCCATGAAAGAGATCATAAAACATACTGAATGGCTCGTTGATCTTACACTTTATGAATCAAACACAGAAAAATGTGGTGATTAGCCATGCTTAGTGTCAATCAATTATTAATTTAGAATCAAAATCACCTTGTCTTCTGCCCAGAGGGACAGGTGGAAATATTTGTACTTCTGCAAAGCTGACATCTTGGCAGGAATCATGAAGCTATAAAGGCTTCTGCACATTTAATGTAGCACTCCTCCAGTAGGGGAATTATTGTGTGCTGCTTCTGCCCTTTTTAAATCCCCACTTCATTTGATTATCTTCCCTACCTGCCTTTAGGACATTCTGTGCTGTTATAATTAGAAACTGAAGTATTCTAAAAGAAGCCAATGCTTTGCAATGCATATTGGAGCAATTGTGTTTGCTTATTCTGTGAAATACAATCTAGTTATAAGCAAGGCTTTGTGCACTTCATTTAATGGGTTTTATGAAACCACAATGCCCTTTCTTAAGTAAGTCTTCTCTGGCTTGTTCTTGTGGTCTCTGGGGGGGAGTGAGGGGCACTGCTATGCATCAGGAAAAACAGTTCAGAATATTATGGCGCTACAACTGATGTGTGTTCCATTTCTGAACACAGGAGAGAAACATTTCCTCTCTCCGTTGACCTTTTTTGTTGACTGGATAAACAGAC